GGAGACGAGGCCACAACTTAACCGTCCTCGCAGGAAGCCGTGTATTCATGTCGAAGATTCGAATGGCGGCAGATTCACCAACCAATCGTTAGCAAAGCTTTGGACCAGATGTAAGTCCAAAAACCGGATTATTAGAATATAAAAGATGGGCACACGATCCGTTGGTCTTTCGTGATCGCGTGGCACGGCGCAAAAGCCGGTGAACTAAGTTGATCCGTAATATTACGGTTTGTTTCTCGGTTTGTTTCGCTGAATGCTTCGGGCTGTTATGAATTATGAATTATTATAAAAGCGAAGCGACTGTGTTTGCTGTGTTTACTTGATTGTCACATTTCGCTGTTTTCACGAGCAGCAGGCATTCGGTTGGTGTGTACGCCGTAGTCGCAACTTTACAAAACTTCTGCTACAAGGAAGTGCTTATCGTACCGTAGGAGGAAATGTTCCTTTCCAGCAACAACACAGCTCCCTTCACACCTTGGTTGTCCAGGTTGCATGTTGGTCTCAGAACCGACCTTTGTCGTGTTTCATCCCCCAAGCCAAACGGTCATGAGTTGTGGTAGAAGATTTATGCTCAATCAGTATGTCTAACAGGATTCACTCCTTTCCTCAGTTTCCGCGTCAGCGTGGGCCTCTTGTGCACGGAAAAGGAGAGTGCTATTCTTACGTTGTCCAGCCATTAAACCCCCACTGCGCCTCGAAGCCAACGCTCCTGCATGTAGTTCAACCTTCGTCAGAGCCACCGTTTCCATGTCGTACGACAGCACTGGCAGGGTCAAGATATAGGCGGATTTGTATGGAAAGAAATACTCTTCTTTCTCAGTCCAAATATCGGACAGGTTACCAGAAACACTCGAGGCGGAGCATCTTCCGTTACGTTTAACTCTAGTTGGACGTTGCCATCACCGGAAATGATTGAGTGAAAACACTGAAACTGGTTGACTTTCACGATGGCTTGTCATCTTACTTCCACCAATCTATTAACTGTGTGAAGGTGAGAGGTTTTTGATTTGGTTCCATGGCTGGCAGAGCGAAATAAGCAAATAAGTTTATTTACAAGAATTCCAACGTCTCGACCAAATTGGCACCGGTCATCATCAGGGAATTATTCCCGATCGGGGAGTCAGGTTTTGCCGAGCTGTCAACCATTACATATTAAGTGTTATGACCCTCAAGCCATCTACGGCACGGTGTCGCTGAGTCTCAGAAGTCGTTTTTTTATGGTTCCTCATAACTTCCGACTTTAAGGCATTATGGTACACTAGGCGACTCCTCAACATCAAACGAGGCAATGAGGTCGTGGATTTCCGGCCGTCAGGGCATGTTGACTTCCTGTCAAGGACCAGACTTTGCCCTGACCTCCCTCCGGCCATGTCCATTACAGCAGATAGCTTTCTTCACATACGATGCTGAAACGTCGTTCCTGAACGGCTTGGATGAATCGCAGCGGCTGCGTATAGTGGCTTCTTTCTGCTAGACTCCGAGCACTACGTGACGCCATTAGTTGACAGTTGTCGATTCGTGTCAACCGTCGTCGTTTATCACCCCCTACCGACGTACCGACTGCTCTCAACCTTGCCGGCGTCGTGTAAACACGGCGCCGACTTCTTCAGGGCCGTCGTCGATGCCTTATCGTCGCCTCAGTCCCTCCTCGTCAGGCAACAAGATGTGTCGGTGCTGAGCAGAGGTGAGGTCAGCATCACTAGCGCGCATCCTGCCGCCACCGTGCCTAACGACAATGAGGTAAGGTCGTCGATCAGTTACCACGCCGGCTCATGTTTCTCTTCTTGCCTCCGGCTTCCTCATCGGTAGCAGTTGCTCTCGTCGCTGCTGCAGCGTCGGCGGTCGGTGGACTTTTCAGCGATTCTTGAATCGTGTGGAAATACCACCACCCGAGAAACGCGCCGTTTTCCCAATGCTGAGTGCCGTTGTTGCTGTTATCTTCGTCATCCAGCATTTAGCCGAGTTCGAACCGGATCAAAGAACACTTATCATATGAGGCGTTCTTCCTCAGTCCAGCTGCACGTTGACCTCACTTATACTGACGAATGACCCAAGCACGGCAACAGACGCGTCCCCGTCTTAATCTGGAAACGGCCAAGTCCGGTGAAACAATCACGTTCTGATCATGGGGACACCTTCATGCCTGCCAAGGATATCCGTTCATGAAGTGGCCTCTCCAAGCATACCGTTGCTCGGCAGAGCGTCTCCCGGTGATCTCGCATGCTACCAGCGGTCGTTGCTAAAAAACGCTTTTCCGTGATATGTATGTTAGAACTGTTCAAGATCATGCATCAAGAAAAAGACTACTGATGCCATGACGGTGATGATTCTTTGCATCTACGAGCCATTTTTGCGCGGCATTTATTGCTTGTCATCAATATCACCTTCCAACCGTTCCCACCACAGCCGAATATCCACAGATATTGATTCCGCCGTATTTTCATATTTTCAACGCATATGCTATAAGGCACATGGTACTCCGTCGTAGAGGGAAAAAATTCCCCTCATTATGTAAACCTACGCTGCCCTTCTGCTCGAAATTGTCGTGATT